AATTATTTCACTTTCAAAAATTTTAAACCCTCAAACTTTGAAGACCACATGACCCCTGGAAATAAAGTTCGTTGTCATAGTTTCATAAAAAACATTATTCGTTGTTATGATTTTCTATTCAAAATCACGAAAACATCAATTATTGCTATGGTAACAGTAAACAATTTTTTATTCAATATGGTTGCTAGAGGAGCCAATGGGGTCGAAGCTCTTGGTACTTTTCCTCACAAGTGAATTCCAGTCTTTTTTTTCCTTTTTGAATGTTCGCCGTCTTTTCTTACTCGGGGAAACACTGACGTTTTCAGTCTTGCCAACTTCGTCCACAACACCAATGTGAAAATCACGCAGAATTCTTCGTTCAATCATTTTGCCTTTTTTCCCTACCACTGAAAATTTTTGGGTAATTTTAATTAACAAATAAATAAAAACTTGCCTTGTTTGTCCTCAAATGACACATTTGGGGTTCGCATTCCGTTATTTTTCAAAATATCGATAATTTCGTATCGCAAAGTTGAGATATCTTGTCTGATTTCGATAACATCGTCTTCAGTGACGCCAAATTCGTGTCGTTTTCGCTGTTCTGACGTATTGTAACGTTTCAGTAATAAACGAACGACCGACTCGTGTTTGGCTTTAATCCTCAATTGGGATTCTTTCTGAAAAAATATTACATTTGGGGGAAAAATATAACTAAACCCCACATTAAAAGTATTTGGAGTTGGAATAATCATATTTATTTCAAAATTGGTACATAGCCATAATTCATTAAGTCCTCATAAATAAAAATATTTTCAAGATGGCGGCGCTTCCGGTTATACCGGAAATCGGTCTCAACTTTCTTATTTTAAATAGAAAGGTATATTTTTTACTGTGTTTTTGGATTAATCGGGTCATTTTAAGGGAGTTTTCATCAGCTTTCCCTATACCTAAATTTAGCCGTTTTTGAAATATTTGGAGCTTTTCAAAAATTTTTGGATCTGCACCTTACACTTTAAAAATCGGTAACTCTGCCATTTCTTAAGATTTTGAATTCGTTTTTTTGGCGTTTGAAAGAGAAAGTTTAGATCTTTCTTTCGGTGTTTTCAAATTTTGGAAAAAAATTAACAAACCATGAAATTTTAAGGTTACTTTTGTAATAATTCAAATAGCAATAACTCAATTTTTCCAAATGAAATACCCCAATTTTTATTTTACAAAATGGAAGAGAATTTAATTCTGCATCGATCTGTATTAACATTCCCTATACCTAAATTTAATAATTTGGACAAAAAACAAATAAGAAAAAAGCATTTTTAATAATAATAAAAAAATGTTTCGATGAAAAGTGCTAAAAATTTGTCGAAATAATTAAAATTAAGCTATTTTAGACATACTTTTAGAATTTTCTTTTTTGCTTTGACAAACTTTCTAGGAATTGTTTATAACACTCCAAAACTTAATAAAAATTTTTCACCCAATTTTGCWATTTTTGATCTTATTTTAACGATACTTTTCAATTTCAATAAAATTAAAAAAAACGGTTTGGATTTCTAAAAATAAGAAAAAACCCATTTCTAAATTTAGTTTCGCAATTTTCTGCCTTGTTTTAGTTAATTTCTAGAATTGTGTGAATTTCTATGTAAAAAATGCTTTGAATTTATAAAAAGAAACAAAAATAACGCATTTCACTTTTGAAATTGTTTGCGTTGTTTGGGCAAATTTTTCTCAAATTTAGATAAATAGGTAACAGAAAAGAAAAAAAAAACAAAAAAATCCTTTTTTCTTATTTGTTTTTTGTCCAAATTATTAAATTTAGGCATAGGGAATGTTAATACAGATCGATGCAGAATTAAATTCTCTTCCATTTTATAAAATAAAAATTGGAAAATTTGAGTTATGGCTATTTGTTTGTTAATTTTTTTTTTAAATTTGAAAACACCGGAAGAAAGATCTAAACTTTCTCTTTCAAACGCCAAAAAAACAAATTCAAAATCTTAAGAAATGGCAGAGTTACCGATTTTTAAAGTGTAAGGTGCAGATCCAAAAATTTTTAAAAAACTCGAAATATTTCAAAAACGGCTAAATTTAGGTATAGGGAAAGCTGATGAAAACTCCCTTAAAATAACCCGATAAATCCAAAAACACAGTAAAAAACATACCTTTCCATTTAAAATAAGAAAGTTGAGACCGACTTCCGGTATAACCGGAAGTGTTACCATATTGAAAATATTTTCATTTAGGAGGACTTAATGGTTTATGGCTATGTAGCAATTTTCAAATAAATACGATTATTCCAACTCCCAATACTTCTAATGTGAGGTTTAGACGGAACACCCTGTATAATGATGGCAATACTGACACTACAAATTTTATTTTTCTTGCGTTGGCGAAGCTTGAAACAACTGCAAAACAGTTCGGTGTTTGGGAGGATGTTGAACGGTGGTGGTAAAACATCATCATCTTCGAAATAAGTCATCCAGAGCTTACTTCGCGCAAATTTCCACTCAATATCTGCACGTTCGGAGATGATTTGAAACGAATTTGACATCATTGCAATCAACATGTTTAGCAAAACTATGATGTTTATGACGGAGTAGGAACCGAACATTAGTAGGGCCCAAAATCGGGTGAAACTTTTAATTCCGGTTAATTCGAACGAGAGCAAGTCGACGAGACCAAAACTGGCCCAAAACAAAGATTGCGACGTTTCAAATAAACTAAAAAAAATAAAATAATATCACAGTGAATTAAATTATTTTGGTGGTTTTTCATAGGGTAAGTCCGGGAGGGATGGTCCACATGTTGTGAGTTGTGACAAAATATTTTTAAGATGGTGACACTTCCGGTTATGGCGGAAGTGAGTGTTTTTTTTGAGATTTTGTGACTTTTTTTGAAATTTTGAGACATTTATTAGACAAGCTAGCTTAACATCGGTTGCTATAGAAATGTACAGTAAATATAGTATTTGTTGTCATGGTAACAATTGAAAATTTGGGGGTTTTTGATTTGGAAATTAAGTTGTCAATTATTTTA